TGCCCAGCTTAAGACAGCTGAGATAGGCTCCGCCCCCCACTGAAGAGAATGGATGAATGGTATGTACATTTATGACCCTATATGTAGTTCTGACATTGTTTATTTTAGAAAGTTTAAAAAGTTTAAAAACATAAGAATTAGAATGAAGAATTCTTATGTTTTTTTTACTCCTCCACTGTATTTCGTTCAATCAGAAAACGCCATTCAGAACACAACACTGCCTTGACATTGGTGTTGACTGCATCAGTTTGTATACTGTCTGATTCTTTATAAACTCTAATTATATAGTCACTAATATTTAATACATAAAATAAATGAGCACAGACAAAAACAGACCTTGAGAAGCTGCATGTGTGAAGGGAACGAGTTGTCAGGCAAAAAAGAGACATCGCCATCCAGGAAGAGAGACACAGCTCTCGACGCTGTCTGCCCCGCCAGGCTGAAAGGAAGCCACACACACCTCATCAGAAAGTACGCTCTGCATTGTGCAAACAAATCAAAGGCATTCGCAAAGAGGAAAAAAGAGAGACTGTGAAACAGACAGGAAATAGTATATTTAGATCAGCAGGTGTGACACAAAGGAGGAAATACAGCAAGTACAAGCCACCTTTAGTCCAACTTTGTTTCGTATATATGTCTGCATTTAGAGACACTAGGTGTGATAAGAATAACAACATTTACTATGTGTAAATGTGTCAAAAGACAAAATAAAATCAGGCCAAGAGGTGAACAAGATTACTGACGTGGGCTGCAGTCTGGAGCAGGAAGTGCTGATGACAGGAACCATGGCAGACAGGACTGCCTCCTCTATCAGAGGACTAGGAGTTCCAGATGATCCTTCACCTGAAGAGCAATTTTTTTTAAAGTTGGGGGACTAAATGTTTTTACCATAAACACGTTTTACAAATGAAAGCTCAATTCAGTTAGAAAAATATAACTGTAGCTTCAGGACTCAATAGATGGAAGTCTGTTAATTCATAAGTTATATTGAGAAGATTCAAATTAAAACTATTTTGATGACGTAAGATGAAGCTGGTCAATCCTTTCACTGATCCTTTCTCACCCTGCAGTGCTGCCTGGAGCGCCAGAGACAACAGGTGTGGGATGATGATGTTGTGGAAGCAGCGTCCCGCTTCCTCGGTGTCCTGGACCTGCTCTGCTATTCTCTGAAGGCTGCGGCACGTCAGCACCACCTCATCCACTGAAAAACTAACATCACCTGAAATGAACAAGATGTCACACAGGTGTTAACCTTAGAGCATTTCATAGGACAACAACACGCTTTGGTAAAGCTTTTTGAATTTGGAGACTAACTCCAGTGAATTGATGTGTGATTGTAAATTTGCACCATGACCCACCGATCAGTTATAAATATACTATATATAAATATAAGTACTTGAAGCTAAAAAAAAGATTACCTGTGTGTGCTGAACGAAGGACCTCCAGGAGGACAGGTGTGCTCTCCTGGACAACACTGGGTTTGATGGACACTGCAGCCAGAGCTGACAAACACCGCTGACGCACTGAATGATGGGAATGTAGTTCAGAAGCCTCCCCTTGGTCTTGATTCATGGGCTCTGAACAGACAGGAGGGCCAGGTCACATAAACACTACTTGTATGTGTTCCTGTGCTTAAAATACATGATATTTTCAGCAGCTTACCAGTATACAGCTCGTTCTTTAGTCTTGGAATCAGTTTGGAGATGACGAGTGCCGGGTGCAGCTGCGCTAAGGCTCCAGCACACTCCACCACAGCAAGACTGGAGACAGAAACAAGACAAACACAAGAGAGGTGTCAGGATGAACGGGATTCAAATAGATAACAGAGAGCATCAAAGAGAAACGAAAGCTCACCTGACTGTGTCATCCTCTTCAATCAGCAGCAGTCTGGTCAGATGATCAAGAGCTAGCTCAATATCAGATTCTAACAGCAGACCTGAACAAGGGGAAAATATTTACAACATTCGTGAAAAATGTCTGACTCTGTTATAACGCTTTTAAGCAATTATATTTATCCATCCATTCGCTTCCGCTTATCCTTTTCAGGGTCGC